TGCTAGTTGACTTTTGACTGGTAGGTAGACCGGTAAATGGGGCACTAGTATGTGGGTCCCAGGTAGATGCGTCGCTGGTATATACCGAAGTGGTACCTGGTACCGAAGTGGTATAAGTGGATGACCTACCAGTTGTACGGTGGTCATCGGTACGTCTAGAATAGTCTGGGTTAGTGGATGTAGGCGCCCCTGTTGAAAAGTCATGTCCACTCTTTGTTCCACCAGTTCGAGGGTCGGTAGGTGTTGGCCCTGGGAATGTACCAGAATATGATCTGGTAGTATCTTGAGTTTCATCAGATGATGTCAGCCCTGAATATGTACCGGAATATATAGCTGTAGGAGCTTGAGTTTCATTATATGGTGCATATGTTTTACCAGTGTAATTTGTATATTCATAAACATGTTCGACAAATAACGAGTCAGTAATTATGACTAAGTTCATTATTAGTAATTGTATTAAATTCATGTTGGGACATTAATGTTTGCAAAGTATCCACGTTGCATAAAAACTTTTTAAATATATGTTCACAGCGCGTAGTAACAAGTTAAAATACTTTATGTAATAAAAATAAAACACTGTAAGTTGTTCATAATTTATTTAAAATAATTTATAATTAATTTTTATAAAAAATAGATATTGCTTAATTTTATTGTTTTTTATTTTTTTAAAAGTCACATAATATTAAAACGGATTTTTAACACTTATTAAGACTGATAATACAATTATTTTTATTATCAATAATTATAAAGCTTTTCAATAAAATATATATTTTATTTTTAATACTGGTCTACAGTATAATGTTGAGTGGTATTTAAGATTATCAATATAATTATTTGGAAAAACGTTATCAATTATCATTATTTATTTTTATAACACCATTCAATTAATTAGCAGCTAGCTAGTAAGTTTAGTATAAATATTTTATTATAACAATAATAAATGTTGAAAATTATATTTTAATTTTATTTTTATGAAATAATTGGAATAAAAATTGTTTTAATTTAACAAAATACTTATGTAATATTTAAAACTCATATTGTATTTAAGTCAGTTATTACTCATTTTAAATGATAATTTTAAAGTTGACACATTTCTATCTAAAGGTAGTATTATTAAAATTGAGATAAATTATTAAGTGCACTGTTATATAACACAAATAATGTATATTGATAAACTCATAAACTGTAATTAGATACAATTGAATTAGAAAATATTACGTATATTAAACATTAAATTAAAATTTGTATAGCATGCT